TCCTCACAGGGGGAAAAATACTTTGGGCAGTTTTACAGGAAGAAAAATACTTAGGATCTTAGAGAGAAGATCGGATCTCACCCAGTCTCATCCGTGCTGCTTTAGAAGTGCCTGGTGATAAGTTTGACTTCGGCTGTCTGCAGTCTAGTGACGAGCCATGTTGCTATGGCCGGTCTTTCCTCCGCCAGTTTGGAGAGCTGCCCCAGATCAAGCAAAAGGGCTGCTGCCCTCCCACAGTCAAGCGGGGGTCCCCTCCTTGCTCATCGCCCCTACAGGGTGACTTTCGACCCTTTCCAGGATCCCCCAGCTGAACGAAACCGAACGCGGAAGACAGAACTCAACTTCCAGCGGCTGCAGCAGCCAGAATGACAAACCAGCAGCCCCTCTTAGAAATCTTTTATTGTCTATAGTATATATATATATGCCTCCTAGGATATGAACAGGTCCATACTTCTAAAATGCTGCTTCCCTTCCAAACCCCAATTGCTTGCATTAATTAAGGTTGTTGAAATGTTTATTTTATTTCACAGCTGTTCTGTAATAGGCTCAGCCGTGTCCACTGTGAGGTTAAACATTCTGCTCTACAGAATTCTTAACTTTTGTTCTGCTTTGTTAAAGAAACTAAATTGCCTTCAGCAATATATTTCTTTTTATTTAATTATAAAATTCAGTTGCCCTCCCATCTTACGTGATAGATACATAATGACCAGGAGCAGTGCTCAGGCAGCGGTCCTTTTTTCGAGGACAGTTAAATGTTTATAAATGCACACATTCCTCTTTCTTGTCTTCTGAACTGCTGTACTTTATGATTTCTGGGTATTTGTTATTCCAAGTAGAACATACTTTCCAGTCTCTGTATATGGAAGGGATATGTAAAGGCTTGTTTGCACAAGTTTCTGTTTTAAAATAATAGCACTGGACACTGTCACACTTTGCTGGGTTTTTCTAAGACAGGATCCAAATAGAAGCTGTAGCATAATCAAAATGGGAATTTTTTCTGGCTTTCCATGTTGGCAACCTGGAGCAACATTTTAGTTCGTATTAGAGAAGTGTGAAGGAGATGTTATTCCCCTAAGAAACAGTGTTCAAAAGACATGAAATACTCTTTCTCACAGAGAAAGACCATTTAGCTTAATCCTTGTTGTTGTTGTTAGCTGCGAAGTATGTCTGACCCATCGTGACCCCATAGACAACGTTCCTCCAGGCCTTCCTGTCCTCTACCATCTTCTGGAGTCCATTTAAGCTCACGCCTCCATCAGTGACTCCATCCAGCCACCTCATTCTCTGTCGTCCCCTTCTTCTGTTGCTCTCCCTCTTTCCCAGCATTAGGCCCTTCTCCAGTGAGTCCTTCCTTCTCATTAGGTGGCCAAAGCTTAATCCTACTGGTGTATGAATAGTACCAGGTTCATTTAATGTGAGGATATTTTCAGTAGTTAACCTATGAACTCTGGATCTGGAGAACATAATGGCTTCTTTCTACAGAAATGTGTTCATCTCTCTCAATAAACAAAGACAATGAATAAGAAAGGGTAGACTGCTTGTTTTCCCTTGGGTTTCAAGGTTGGGTTTATGTAGGGCTAAACTGTTAGACCAGGATTTCTCAACCTCAGTTGAAGTCCAGACATCTTAAAGTCGCTGAGGTTGAGAAACACTTTTTTTGACAGTTGTTGCAGCTATTAGAACTTAATCTGATTTTCCAGTCCCTATCAGAAAAAAAAATGTTCCTGATTTCCCAAAGTTCAAATCAGTTGCCTGGACTTAAGCAAGTGGCATGCTTCCATAAAATTACCTAAGTACCGTTAGGCAACAATTTGGGGTATTTAAAAAAAATGCACAAACAACTCAGAAGATTCCATCCAGTTTTTGGGATAGTTTCAGCATGCATCATGTTCTCTAAGCAGTGCCAAACCTTAAGTGCTCAAGCACGTCCCAAACCCACCAATTTTCCCCCTCCTGCATTTAAGCATAATAGATCTGCCACATGGTGTATTTGGCCCTGGAGCAAATGTGCACAGGATGATTGCCGCTTGGACTTCCTTAAAAGATCTGTATCAAAATTGAGAATCCATCAACTCCAAAAAGCACCATCAACTTTTTTTTATAAATTGTCCATCTGCTTCATGTAAGAGGCTTCTTGTATGTAATCATTCCCCTTGGGAGAAAACATGGGTATTATCCATTTAATACGAGAAGATAATGGAGTATTAATATCCATTGGGACCACAGATAAGCAAGCCTACCATCTGATACTCCCTTATGCTCTCAAGATGGGTGGACTTGGCTGGGGAATTCTGGGAGTTGAAGTCCACCCATCTTAAAGCTGCCAAGGTTGGGAAACACTGTCTTAAAGTCGTGCTCTTCCTCATCAAACTGATGTAGAGTTTCTGGTTGGAGTGTTGTAGTAGGATTCTGAAAACCAGAGCAATGTTAACTGAAAAATGTCATCCTACCTGTCACGCATGCACACTCTCCAAACTGCACAAAAAAAGCTATTGGATTAATTAAGAGTCATGGTGGCACAGTGGTTAGAAGGCAGCATTGCAGGCTGACTCTGCCCACTGCCAGGAGTTCGATCCTGACCTGCTCAAGGTTGACTCAGCGTTCCATACTTCCAAGCTCGGTAAAATGAGAACCCAGATTATTGGAGGCAATTTGCTGATTCTGCAAACTGCTTAGAGAGGGCTGTGAGGCACCACAAAACAGTGTATAACTCTAATTGCTATTGTTTTCGCTATTAATGCTTTTAATATTCTGGTGTGACCTTGCATTCACAATCCATAGTGGTATATGGTGACCTTGATCCAGAATAAGAATCAGGGCCAGGGAGACCAATCTTTCCTTAGTCCATTTTGAAAGATTGTCATCGCTTATTTCTGGAGCATGGATAATTTATTTAGTAATAGTCTAATTTGGACACACCATCTCTGCAAGGCATCTGTAATAGTCCAATGTTATGTGAGAAATCTAAATATCAGGATTTAAGAAAACACGTCTATAGATGTTTCGATACTGCATTATTTTCCAAGGCAGTAGCCACACTGGAGGCTGTAACAAAAGCATTTGTAAGGTTTTTAGACATTAATAGGCTTATTATGTATATAAATCTTTTTGAATACAGTTCAACGGGATCCAAGTGCTTTTCTAATAGCAACCAGAAGAGGGCGATATTTATTAACAATTGAAAAATACTTAATGAAGACATCTGGGCATTTCCTTTCACTAAATTTTTTGGCTACATGAAATTAAATGTTTGCTACTGGCAGTGCCAGAGTAACTCTTTGAAAGTCCCTGGATAAGACAGTGCCATAGCTGAAAACTGAGCCTGGATGAATCAACCGGTTCTTTATCCCTCTGGTGCTGACTACAAGAATAGGAATTTAGATATTAATCCAAGGCTTTTAGCTCCTGACAGCCTCAGAATCCTTTCCGGTTGGTTTCTAGCACTTCCTTTTTTCCCCTGACAGTATCAGAGAATAAAATATGACATCCTTTCAGAAGGTGAAGCCAAGAATCTCTTTTACCACTGTTAAGAGCTAGGTGTTTTCAGATACGAGAGACTATTTTAATATTTTGCACGCTAACAGCAACTAAAGCAATTTAACTTTTCAGCTTTAGATGAAAATTATTTCTCACGAGCAGAATAGATTCCCAAATGGTGGCAGTTAAACTGCAGAAGCTTTTCTGTAACATGGGTGTTCTTGATCTCTTTAGGACAGTGGTGGCGAACCTAGGGCACAGGTGCCAGAGGCGGCACTCAGAGCCCTCTCTGTGGGCACGTGCACCGTCGCCCCAATCCTAGGCCTCCAGCTGGGTTTTATAAAACTTTTTCGCTTTAGGCCTCCGCCGCCGTGTGCAAAAAAAAAAAAAAGTTCAATCAGTCAATTTCAACTTCTCGCGGGAAAAAAAAAGAACTCGCAAAGTTGGAATTGATTGATTCAACTTTTTAGTCCCACCCAGTTCTGCTGTTACCACGGCAGCCATGCCCATACAATGGACCATGCCCATCTAATTGGCCACACCCACCCAATTGGCCATGCCCACCCAGCACCCGACAACACATAAGTGGGTTTTAGGTTGCAGTTTGAGCACTCGGTCTCTAAAAGGTTCGCCATTACTGCTTTAGGAGATCGGCAAGCAAGATGTAGGTTGTGTGAATAGACTGGATATGTTTAGAAATAAGGCAAATGAAACCTGCAATGGCTGGAGAACAGGACCAAATACACTTAGCAATGAAGATGTTTGAACTTAGCAGAGATTGCAGATCTGCTCCGGTGGTCCTCCACTTGTAGCATGTTTTACTCTCTACGTTTCCTACTTCTTTTCCTAATTCGTCTTCCCCCTCCTCCCCTGAAACTGGGATTTCTGAAGGAAGAGAGGGACCTGAGAATGTGGGGATGGTCATAAATCAAGTAATCCTTGATTGATTACCACAATTGACCCCCAAATTTCTGTTGTTAAGTGAAACATTTGTTAAGCGAATGTGCCCCATTTTTTGACCTCTCCTGCCACAGTTGTTAAATGGATCACTGTGGTTGTTAAATCAGTCATACGGTTGTTAAGTGAATCTGGCTTCCCCCATTGACTTTGCTTGTCAGAAGGTCGCAAAAGGGGATCTCACACACACACACATACACATACACACCGGGACATGGCAACCATCATAAATATGAACCAGTTGCCAAGTGGCTGAATGTTGATCTTGTGACCACGGGGATGGCTGCAATGGTCATAGGTGTAAAAAAGGGTCGTAAGTCACTTTTTTTTAGTGATGTTGAACGGCCACTAAATGAACAGTTGTAAGTCGAGGATTAATTGTAGTCCTGGAGCAAACCAACATGGGTGACTAAAAGGCTGACAATATTCAGGTCCCTTATCTTTGTTCCTTGCAGCCAGCCAGGATCATAAACACCTCTTCTCTCTCTCTCTCTCTCTCTCTCTCTCTCTCTCTCTCTCTCTCTCTCTCCCTCTCTCTCTCTCTCTCTCTCTCTCATCTCCATCAGTGTCCAAGCAAAACCTACGACCCCTTGGTCAAGTCCACCAGGGATTTCCCCGATGATGTCATCAGCTTCATCAAGCGCCACCCCCTGATGCATAGGGCGGCCCACCCAGCAAGTCGGGCTCCGGTCTTCACTCAGATCAACGTGGACTACCGGCTGACTCAAATCGTGGTGGATCGTGTGACAGCTGAAGACGGCCAGTATGACGTCATGTTTCTAGGAACAGGTAAGTCTAGGACAAAGAGACGTGCGTGACTTCCAAATTATTAAAAGACAAACTTTATATCTAATTTCCCCAAAGGCTTGTTTGGGATTGAGTGAACCCTGAAACAAAGAGATACATCAACTTAATAATAAGCGATGGGATAACTAAGCAGAGCAGTTGCAGCATATAATATCTACAATTAGATTCTGGTCCTGATGACAACACAATATATATCTTCTTGGAGGGAAGCAGATTGTCACTGTGGTTTGCTTGTTTATTCATTTTTACTTCTCAACTTCAGAAAGGCTTAGCTTCTGAGCAAGCTGCAAAAGGTTGCATTTCCATACTGCACGAAGAGTGAAGATTCCTCTAGTTTTTTAACTTGTAAAGTGACAAGCTGGTCTGGCTAGGGTTTTTTCCCCTCCAATAATAATGGAAGACTCATATAAAACAGCTTTGTTGGTCCTAGTTTATCCATGTTGTATTTTCTACATCACTATTCCATTGGAATGCAAAGTATCCTTACAGCATCTCTTCTCAACGAAAAATATTGTGTTAGAATTACATTACAGATTGATGCTTGATACATTAAAGCTTCTTTCAAAGATACACACACACACACATACACACACACAATTTTTAATAGGGACTTTTAGGCCCATACATTCATCAGAGATAGAAAAAAGGCTAATTTGGGTATGGAGGAAAATTGTGAAAAGCTAAAATTGATATCCTGGTTCCTCTAACGCAGTGTTTCTCAACCTTGACAATTTTAAGGCATGTGGACTTCAACTCCCAGAATTCCACAGCCAGCAATGCTGGCTGTGGAATTCTGGGAGTTGAAGTCCATATGCCTTAAAATTGTCAAGGTTGAGAAACACTGCTTAACGGAAAATAATTGCTAAATGAGAGAAACTTAAGACTTTCTTATATCTGATCTGAATCAGGGATAAGACAAAGTAAGATGAAAGATATTTATAGCTGAGTGTTATTTTTGCACCAGGCCTATTTGAATTGGCTCTTAACTATTATTCCGTTTTGCTCTTCATTATAATAGATGTCTGCAAGTTTAAAATAGTCAGTAGGTGGCAGTCCAGAATTTTAGCAGAGAAGACTAATCTAGACTATGGTAAAATATGATTCTTTTGACATGTTAAAAAACTAACAACTTGCTCCCTGCTAAATCAATCTACTGGCAGTTTTCTCAGCAATTAAACATAATAGCATGAAAGATTGAACAACATGTTTTTGCGGTTGGCTTTGAAAGAAAGCCGAAACAAGCACTCAATTAATAAAGTTGCAAAGTGAATACATACACCCCATTTTTAGCCTAATCTCACCCACCAAATTGCAATGACAATTTGACTCTGAATTCTTTTTTATTAGAGAAATCAAAGCCTCCAAACATAAGAACTAAATAGATAAACAAAAACTATTAGGAATAAGCGCAGACGTGTAGAGGCTTCTGAAGATCTGTTGTAAATTATCTAGTCATTCAAATGGCATAATGTTTAGAAAAAGCTTATTTTTCCCCAAAGGCCAATCAGAACCTTGAACTGGGTACTTAATTTTTCATCTGTTTCAAGATTCTCAATGGGCATGAAACATATGGGTTGTTTTTTTTTCAAGATGTAGTAGATACCCTTTAATGTTTATCCGCCAATTGCAAATAGCAGGTGAGTGGTTATGAATATCTGTTCCAATCTGGGAACATTTTGTAAATGTTGTCAGACAATCAGGGCTAAGCGACTGGAAGGGAAGAAGTAGACAGCGGGAGCTGGGGGGGCGAGGCGCTGAGAGAATCGTATAATGCTAGAGCTGGAGAAGGCCATTGGCCTGTCCGGTCACGCTGTGCTCTAGGCAGGAATCCAAGGAATCTAGACTGGGTAGAAGGCCCTTCCAACATCAAACTCTGCTGGAAGTTTTTGCTAGCACTCATCATCCGCAGGGGAGCTACTCACATTCATTGCCTGCTGAGTGAAAAGGAAGCCTTCTTCAAGGGACCCAAAAATTGAGGTTCAGTCTGGGTGGCCCGAGTCATTTGAGAATTTGGAAACTCCAGGTAGATTTTTGTAATTTGTGAACAAGGTGGTTCGGTGGAGCAGTTGCGCACCCATCAAGAATGTGGAGATATTTTTTTCACTCCCGCTTTTAGGAAAGGTGATCACGTTCGCTCTGATGGCAGCGCCCAGCTAATCAGGGTTAATTTCAGAGAAAGCTATCCAGGTGGAGAGGTGGTGCTCACTTGGGCTGCTTTTCCTTGAGGAAATTCCAGGATTGGAAAGTTTAAAAGGCATCTTAGAAGAAAGCAGTGGCAGAGCTTCTTCCATATTAACATATTACATGTCAATAACACATTATTAATTTTAGCAGACAGATTGAAACAGAAACACAAAAGCACCATGTGAGATGATAACAAATCTTAGTTCTGCTTTTGGGAGGCCCAGTGGAGAGATCCCAAAATGGCCGAGTCTCACAGCACCCTAGATGTTTGTAGAAGCCTACAGCTCAAAGGGCAACACCAGGGTCTTAGCAAAACCTGACACCAAAACCTTATGACCTTGTTTCCATGGTACCAAGGTAGTAGGACCTAAACTTGGCTGGATGGTGCATCTGTTTCCCTGAGATGTAAACAAGACACTGGGAAATATACGTACAGATAAGCAGGTACCAGCTTAAATGATCTTGAGGTCCTCCTATAGTGTGCGAAGATTCCTCTCTTCTCTTTATTTATCAAGCAAGAGTGAAAAATAAACAGCTTAGATGTTATCATAACTCAGAATGAACTCTAAGCAGTGGAGTACCACAAGGTTCCATCTTAGGCCCAGTACCGTTCAATATCTTCATGAATGACTTAGATGAGAGAATAGGAGGAGAACTCATCAAATTTGCAGATGACGCTAAATTGGCAGGAATAGCCAACACCCCAGAAGACAAGCTCAGGGTCCAAAAAGTTCTTGACAGACTTGAACAATGGGCCCTATCCAGCAACATGACATTTAATGTGAAGAAAAGCAAGATTTTACACCTAGACAGGAAAAACCAAAGGTACAAGTACAGATTAGGTGAAACCTGACTCAAAAACAGTAGCTATGAAAAGGATCTTGGAGTCCTATGAGCCAGTAGTCAAAAAAGCTAATATAGGCCTTGGTTGTATAAACAGAGGCACAGAATCAAAATCACATGAAGTATTAATACTGCTTTATACATCCTTAGTAAGACCACACCTGGAGTGCTGCATCCAGTTTTGGTCATCACAAAACAAAAAAGATGTCGAGATTTGGAAAAAGTGCAAAGAAGAGCAACTAAGATGATTAAGGGCCTGGAGACAAAAACATACGAAGAACAGTTGCAGGAATTGGGTATGGCTAGTCTAGAGAAAAGAAGGACTACAGGGGGAGGTGATAGCAGTATTCCAGTATTTGAGGGGCTGCCACAAATAAGAGGGGGTCAACTTATTTTCCAAAGCACCAGAAGGCAAGACAAGAAATAATGGATGGAAAACTAATCAAGGAAAGAAGCAACCTAGAACTAAGGAGAAGTTCTCCTAACAGTGAGGACAATTAACCAGTGAAACAGCTTCCCTCCATAAGTCGTAGGTGCTTCACCTCTGGAGGCTTTTAAGAAGAGACTGGACAGCCACTTGTCTTAAATGGTATAGAGCAAGGATAGGCAACCTTGGCTCTTTTACGACTCGTGGACTTCAACTCCCAGAATTCCTGAGCCAGCCATGCTAAGATGAAATTGAGAGGTTTCCATGCTGAGCCATGCTGGCTCAGGAATTCTGGGAGTTGAGGTCTATGAGTCATAAAGTGGCCTAGGCCTAGGCCAGAGGTAGGCAACCTTGGCTCTTTTATGACTCATGGACTTCAACTCCCAGAATTCCTGAACCAGCCATGCTGAGGGGAAATTGAGAGGTTTCCATGCTGAGCCATGCTGGCTCAGGAATTCTGGGATTTGAAGTCCACGAGTCATAAAAGAGCCAAGGTTGCCTACCCCTGGTATAGAGTCTCCTACTTTTGCTGTGGACTGGTCCCTTCCAGCTCTATTCTGATTGAAATTGAAACTTCTGGAATCTTTGTAATATGAAGGAGAAATCAAGAGATGTCACTACAATCCTCAAAATGCAACTGTCTTCTGCAATGCCACTGTACCATGCTAGCTTCAGGAACCGAGCTTGATTACAGGGCTATTTTGTAAAGATGGTCCTTGATTTAACAAGCTCACCTTTCCACATTTCCCTCAGCGTGCCATGTTTTAAGAGCTCCAATTCAGTCCTCCTCAGACTGCATGTAACCAAACCTTCATCTTGAAAATGTGGTGAATGGATCAGACTCAGGTTATTTTTTCAACAGTCAGAAATTGGTTTATTCATACAAGAGTCGTCTTCCCCTCCTTCAGATTAAGTGATACTGCATGGAATTTTAGCACTTTGGAAGGAATTTGACCAAAGTAGGAAATTGAATGTGGTCAGTTTACTGGAAACTATTTATCTCTCAATCATTCTTCTCATAACAAAGATTAATACTAACGGTATAATTACCTTCATCATGAGGTTTAAATTGAGTGAAATTAGCATACGAGGCAGTCAGTTTAATCAAAGGAGAAGCTTGAAGCAACGTTGTCTGCAGTACCGTTAAGTTGAAAGATCCTTTTCTTTCCTTTAAGTTTGGTCTTCAGTTACTTAATTTCAGGATCTTTTGTTTGTTCAATCACTGCCATATGAAAAGTTCCATGCGCACACAATGCAGGAGAGGGGAAATATAGGAAATAATTCACAATTGATTGCAGGGGAATTGGCATTGTTGCTCGTTGCTCATTTGCATAATCCATTGACAATGTACCTGGAGGGCTTTTGGGATGCGTGAAAAGCACACTGGATTTCATTTTATTTTTCTAATGATCAGGATAAGTTTCTAGTGCTTAGTCCAGGCTCAGAGGCCTTGTGCATGGTGGAAACCTGCATGAGCTCTGAAGACTGCACGTGCTTACAGCCATCTTTATAACATTTATAACTGAAAAGTTTGCTTACAGTCACTTTTATAACATTTGAGGGGACTATATATGATCATTTATCAATTTCTTCCACATGTAGGAGAATAAGGTGGTAATAAAATGTCAGCCCTCCCAAGTAAACAAGACAGAAAACATGAGCAGATGAACTAATTCTACTTTATTGTATCAGGCTACATTAGCAGAATCTTCCAAGTCTAAGAATACTAATCTCCCACTATTACTTTTAATAGTCTGATATGTTAGGCCGGATCCTTCCTAACTTTATTTCTTTGCCTATTAAGCAGTTGTGGGCTGCTCTCTGATCCTTTCCTGGACAGCATCTTTTCCCCTCCTTTCTTAAGGTCCTTCCTGCATACCATTATGTAAAATGAGTTGCCGAGAACTAATTCAGTTGATAACTAACTTGGGATCACATGAATGCATGCTAGCACTCTTCCTGTATATGTATGTCCTTGATAGCTGCAAAAATGCGAATCCCGGGCATATCTGGGGCCGATGACGCAGTCTAGGAGCTGGGCGCAAACGTTAGTTAACTTTATTTAAGGCATTTCTGTTAACTGGCTATAACCCTGACGATGTCGGAAGCTCCCAACAAAAGCTCGGTTTTATTAAATTTTTTCCTATTTCTCCTGGTGATCGTGAGTTATTTATTTTATGATATGAACATACCCAGGAGTCACATTTTTACGGACATTTCTAATCATATATATATATATGAAGAATATATATGAAGCACGAAGCTGAAAACACCAACCTGAAGATGACGAATGAGACTTCGTCGAAACGTCGCCAAGACATTTCCAATTTGACGCGGGAGAAAACCCGAATAACCAAAGACCTATATATATATATATATATATATATATATATATATATGTATGTGTGTGTGTGTGTGTGTGTGTGTGTGTGTGTGTGTGTGTGTGTGTGTAATTGGAGATGTGAACTTGTTTACCTTTACAGTACAGCCATGGGTAAAATCTCTTATAAGTTGTACTTCATTTTATTTAAATAACTTATATGGCCATCTATCTCATGTGGTCTTCCTAGGCAGCTCACAACCACAAATAATAATAATAAAAAATCCCACCACTTAACAGAAGACCAACAGCTATCACTTGGATAAAGGTCTTCCTCTCTTCCCTTGACAGGATCCGTAACAATAGGCTGTGGCTGTATGCAAGCAACAAATTAGATTTACTCACTGGCTTTATAACATGTTCTCTCCTTGGTATTAAACAGCAGCAAGCAGTGATCAGAGAAGGGGGGAAAAGGGATATTTATATGATATGGATTTAGCTAAAAAGTACTGGGAGAAGAATGAAAATACAAGGCTTCTGTTTACGGGAAACGTTGATAAATGAACCGTTTCCAGAGTGGGGAAACATCCTGATAGCTTTTTTCAGTAGGATCCTTTCAATTTCAGATATAGGAACAGTGCTGAAAGTTTTGAGCATCGCCAAAGAAAAATGGGACATGGAAGAGGTGATCCTGGAAGAACTACAAATATTCAAGGTAGGTCTCCAAAAGTGAACTATTTTTTACATTAGAGTAGAGGTCCCCAACCCCCGGTCCGTGGACTGATACCGGGCCACAGCATGCCAGCAACTGGTTCACACAAACAAGCAAAGCCACATCTGCAAAATGCAGGCAGCACACAAAACCACACACCCTCCAGTCTGCGAAAAAAACTCTCTCCATGTAACCAGTCCCTGGTGCCCAAAAGGTTGGGGGCCTCTGCGCTAGAGGAAAAAAACTGATCAAGATATTTGTTTTTATTTTTAATTTTGTTATGAAATTTATTTGCTGTCCACCTCATATCCAATGACTCTGGTTAGCTAAGATATATTTTGGGCCAGAGGAAAGACTTCAATAACAGCAACATAAATACCTTTTTTTGGGGGGAGGGGGTATTAAAGAGGAGAAAAAAAGCACGAAGAGTGAAATTTGAGACAAATCCTGGTGGAGTAAAAGTCTGCAGTCATTTCAAGGATAGGCAAACCATTTTGATCATCTTAGCAAACTTACTTGCTGGGGTGCTGTGCCCTTATTCCAAATCATGACATTTCCTCCAGGCTGCTAATTAAGCAGCTCTCTTGCCAAGGACAATGAGGTAATGAGATGTTGTGATATTGTTGCATGTATTAGTGGTACAACCCCCCAGAATTAAGTCTTCTTCCAGACAAGCTCATCTGTGGCCTCCATGAACACCTTCAGGGTATTCAGATACGATAAGCTATTATTGCAAAATAATCATTTCAGAACGAAAACCTTTTTTTTAAAAAATGAAATTAATCTCCCTGTTAAGGGAGATGTTAAGTAGATGATTCTTGTTTTAAACCTTCCCATATCACAATTTGGCTGCCACAGGCACTAATTATAACTATATCACGTCGAAAATATCTGGGATCACCAATCAGCTGCCAAGTTATCTGGAATTATTAAGCATGTACCAATTTGTTGCATATTTGTAATATTAGATTTAATACCAAACAGAGCTATTAGCTCAACAGATGTTCCTCTACTTTATGCACTTCGTTTCTTTTTCTTTTTTTCTTACAGAAAAAATAGAGGGGAAAAATACTGTAGGTTCTCTATATATTAATCCATCTGAGAGTTATTTAATTCGATGTAGGTATTTCCAAGAACATGCGAGCAACAAAGGAGAGGAATTTCCTCACTCAAGGAATATTGTAGTCCACATTGCTTGCTTGAAGAAAAGATTTATTTGACCACCCAAAGATTGTTCAATTCAATTAAGATGTTCTTCCTGAAATCTCTCAGGAAGAATTCTTGGTTATGGAAAACTCAAATCTAGGAAGCAACTTTAAACACTCAAGACTGCACTGGGTGTTAACCCCATTAAACCACCTTCATTTACAAGATTACATAAGCCTGGAATTCCATTCTGATATTCCAGGTTAGATGTTGTTGTTGTTAATTGCGAAGTCGTGTCCGACCCATCGCGACCCCATGGACAATGTTCCTCCAGGTCTTCCTGTCCTCTGCCATCTTTTGGAGTCCATTTAAGTTCATACCTACTGCTTCAGTGACTCCATCCAGCCATCTCATTCTCTGTCGTCCCATTCTTCTATTGCCCTCAATCTTTCCCAGCATTAGGCCCTTCTCCAGTGAGTCCTTCCTTCTCATTAGGTGGCCAAAGTATTTGAGTTTCAACTTCAGGATCTGGCCTTCTAAAGAGCAGTTGGGGTTGATCTCCTCTAGGACTGCCAGGTTAGATATGGTTTATCAAAAAGGCTTAAATAACAAATCGGTGTTCTTGAGTGATACGACACACGTCCTTTCCTTGATAACATCTTTTCCTCCAGATGTTGACTCTGCCTTCACTGACATTTGTTCATTTGCTTTGCAGCATCCATCACCTATTTTGACCATGGAGATGTCTCCAAAGCAGGTAATTTGTAAATAGCACTTGATAAATGGCTTTTTTAAAGCCCGTGTGTAATATTTTATGATTTAATATTTGCTTGTTTTTCCCCCTAATCTTACCCTTTCCAGTCCTTCCTGTCAAATTGCTCCTTTTGATTTGAGATCCATTTCCACATTCCACATGAACACTCTATAATTCATTGCATATTAAAGAAAAAAACAGTAAAAGAGGGAAGAAGAAGATGTTGCATATATATTAGTTTGATTCTTTCTTGCTGATAGCTTTTGTGCAGAACCTATTTGTCACACTGATAATTGTGTTATGCAGAAGTGTTCATTCAGAAGTTAATCTGAGTGGTCAGTAGGATTTATGCTTCATAAGCAAATTTAAGGTTCCATCTTCAATTGGAACAACTGTTTTCATCTTTCTAGACTTGGCCATGTCAAGGTTACAGGGAACTGCCTCTGTCAATATTTAAAGCAGGGTTCTTAGCTTTAGCCCAGTGGTTCTCAACCTTTTTAAAGCCGCGACCTCCAACCGGTCGTAAGTCGAGGACTACTCAACTGGTGCAGCACCGTTTGCAGAATGGAACTTTTAGCAGGCTCAGCAGGGCAGAGACAGCCTGGACAATTCCTATTGGCTTTTGAAAGCCAATAGAATTAGACTCTATTCAAGAGAGTCTATTCTATTGGCTTTCAAAAGCCAAGAGAATAAAAGGGAGTAGCACAGCTAAGGAAAAGGGGGAAAAAAATGGTGGACTGTGTTGTTTGGCGACCCCCATGAAATGGTCATTTCACTCCAAATGGGGTCCCGACCCACAGGTTGAGAACCACTGCTTTAGCCATTTAAAGATGTATGGACTTCAACTCCCAGAATTCCCTGGCCAGCATGCTGGGAATTGAAGTGTATACACCTTGAATTTCAAGACTGAAAGAACCATGAAAAGAAGGTTTGGATTACCTAAATCTTTTTGGGGACTCATGTTCATTAATTAGAATACAAAGTAGTCCGGAGTTTCCAACTTAATCAATTTGTGTCTGTGTGTATAACTTCTTTAGATTTCTGTCAGGGTTTTGGTTTTTTTTACTATGTTATTGCCCCTGGATTTTTAAAGCAGACTTGAGGCCAAATCTAAATAATTGGAAGTGATGCCATGATGTTAAACAGGTGAGCTGCAGCAAAAGAGTGGCTTGAAATGTCTCTAAAAAAAAAAAAATACCAGGGTTTTCTGCTTATCTTTATAACAAAATGGTTGTGAGCCCATAAACCTAGTTAAAGCAAGTTCATTTAACTATGTAGAAAGAGACAGTTTCATGGATTCTGTTCCCTGCTCTATAAACAGTAATATTGATGGACATGGAGGCATTTCTATAATAACAGGTTTCTTTTAAAAGTATTTTAATGCTATAAAGCAATGTGAAATTGTTTCTCATTTGTTTGCCTTGTTTGATTTGTAGCAACAATTGTACATTGGTTCCAGAAATGGACTGGCTCAGCTTTCCTTGCACAGATGTCATACATATGGGAAGGCATGTGCTGATTGCTGCCTTGCCAGGGACCCCTATTGTGCTTGGGATGGAAATTCCTGTTCCAGATACACCCCAACTTCAAAAAGGTAAGGAATCTGCCCATCCGAACTATTATGCCTAATGCTGGCTTGTTGCTTGAACCTCAGTCAATATTAGGCACACATACTGAGGAGCATATTGGGATCTAAGGGAACCTCCTTCCCTCTTTCTCCATTGGTGTCTGCTATAATTTTCCCTACTAAGTTCTCTACATGGTCTATGGTTTCCTGTTCACATTAGAATAAAATATCTCTGAAACCTTAGCCCAGTGGTTCTCAACCTGTGGGTCGGGACCCCATTTGGTGTCGAGCGACCATTTCACGGGGGTCGCCAAACAACGCAGTCTGCCATTTTTTCCCCTTTTTCCTTAGCTGTGCTACTCCCTTTTATTCTATTGGCTTTTGAAAGCCAATAGAATAGACTCTCTTGAATAGAGTCTAATTCTATTGGCTTTCAAAAGCCAATAGGAATTGTCCAGGCTGTCTCTGCCCTGCTGAGCCCGCCAAAAGTCCCATTCTGCAAATGGTGCTGCACCAGTTGAGTAGTCCTCGACTTACGATCGGTTGAGTAGTCCTCGACTTACAAACGGTTGGGGGTCGCGGCAATTAAAAAGGTTGAGAGCCACTGCCTTAGCAATTAGATGGAAAGGGTAGTTATTGATTACTCACTTGATTTAATCTCAGGTTTCATGGCAAGATCTCTTGGCAACTCTTTCTTTGCTTGAAAGTAGTCCTGGGATTGAAGAGACAAGAAAGTTGGAATGGGGACAAGACAAGTTGAAAGATCTTCTTAAAATACCAAGTGCTTTGTAATCTTCTTCAGGGTCGTTATTCGCATCTTATTCCCGTCCCCAGCATGCACACTCAAAGAATCCACCTACTTTGGTTCAGTCCATGAATTGCCTTCCTGAAATATAATGTACATACCAGCCTTGTCAGCCAGAAACATAAGAATTCTGTCTTAAATGCCATTTTGGCAACTTATTTGTTCATTTTCTAGGCGTGCAAGGAGGCAAGACGTGAAATATGGAGACCCGATTACCCAGTGCTGGGATGTTGAAGACAGTAAGTATTGAATTGGTGTTCTTATTTCCAACATCTCTCATTTCAGTTGAGAAGCTGGCAACCTTAATCCAACCATAGGTGATGGTTTTTTGTTGTTTTGTCTTAAAAACCCATGGTGCTCCTCTGTGTCTCAAAGGGATTCCTTGGTCTGTTCTGGATGTTGAGAATTGTATTCTTGACACTTGAGGCTGTCCGTTCAGTAGGGTAGGGTAAGATAGGATAGGATAAAGAATAGAGAATAGAAAATAGAGATTGGAATAGAATAGAATAGAATAGAATAGAATAGAATAGAATAGAATAGAATAGAATAGAATAGAATAGAATAGAATAGAATAGATATTGGAATGGAATGGAATGGATAGAACGGAACAGAACAGAATAGAATAGAATAGATATTGGAATGGAATAGAACAGAATGGAATAGAATGGAACAGAACAGAATAGAATAGAATAGATATTGGAATGGAATAGAACAGAATGGAATAGAATGGAATGGAATAGAACAGAACAACAGAACAGAACAGAACAGAACAGAATAGAATAGAATAGAATAGAATAGAATTCTTTATTGGCCAAGTGTGACGCACAAGGAATTTGTCTCCGGTGCAGAAGCTCTCAATGTACAAATTGGCACCAATATTCCATAACCAAGAGTGGCTGGTGTATTGTTATTCTTTCTCAATATTGCAACTTACTATTTAGTTATCAGCAGCAGCCATCAAGAGATGAAAAAAAACACCGTTCTGGAACCCAAATGGGGAAATATTGTGTCTATAAGACTTTCAGTGAGGGAGCCAAGTCAGGAAAAGTTCCTGAAGCAAAATCATCAAATGCACTTCTCACATTTTCTTATCTATTTTTGCACATCAACTCTTGGACCAAAATCCGAAATCTTAGTTCCAATTAGCAAGTAATCCAAGATTTCTTCTAATTCTTCCCTACTAATTAAGCAATCTCCTTTTCAGCAACAGCTTACTGTCTTCCCACAGATATAGCTGTTCATGCTCCTGCCAGACTAACTTGCTCCCTGGCAAAAGGTATTGCAATATGCATTATCTATAGTCAGCCTTGTGGTTAAGCTGAAATTTCTGTAACAACATAACATAAAATTTAAAATGCTCAGTTCGGAATATTTATTTTCCTTTCTTAGAGGAGTAAGGGGGGTAAAACCACTGAAGCAAAACAGTATTATTTTTCCTTAAAAAATGAATATTTAATTCAGAGTTTCAATTACTGCACAGTTGTTTTCATATTAATCCTGTTGTGTATGCAAATCAAAAGAAACGTGGAGGGCCTGAGTGCAGTCAGCATTAAGGAAAATGAGAGTTTCTGTGCTTTTGTTCTGTGGGGAGAAGAGCTGTCCCAGAGAAGAAGTCAAAATAAAATTTCTGGAAGGAATAGATTTTATTTGTCTTATAACAAGGCAATGATGTAGGCCGATGGGGATGACACGAAATAAATCTTGGAAACAATTTAATTTCTAGCATGTGAGCCTATCTCTAGTAGCTAGGGAAAAATAGAGGACAATTATTATTTTTTTTAAGTTTCCTGTTGCACCCAACTCCATTTATTTTCCCCATACCACCAAAAGTATCAGTTCATTGTGTCCACTGTTTCTATCCTATCTTTGAAAATGTTCAAATTGAAGGTATTCAAATTGTTCCCAAAATAATGTAAATATCTTCACAGTAGAATTATTCCAGTACTTTTGAATGATGAATATCCAAATGTTTTGGGGGATATTTATATACAGCCCAAAAAGTCTTTCCATGAATTCACATTTTTCTCTCTCTAATGTGACCGCTTTCCCAAAACATTTAGTTTTCTCATATATTTTTTGGGGTCAATATATGCATTTTTGTCTGGGGGGGGTAGTGGTGATGAGCTGCATTCTATGAATTGGAAAATACAATAATGAAAAATAATAATTGGGTTCCAGTTCATAGGTTAGTCCAGGAATAATAAATTAAAGACTTACATGAATTAGAGACTTGACTTCCTTGTCTTAAGCCTCATTGAAAGCAATTTCAGAACGAAAGAATATAGATCGAATTCTTCTTTCACAGTGATGGAGATGACAGGAAGTGACCAAGTCAAAGATGAATGGCATTGTTATAAATGGCTGACATTAATTTGAATGTCTGTGTGCCATTCCAAACCATTTGTTTTCTTTAACAGCTTAAGGTGCTGTTCTGCCATCTGCTCCGCATCAGTCATGTTTTCCCGTTCTTTAATAAATCAGGCTAGAGTTAATCCCCTCTCCTGTGTTTGCTTTCCAGGCATTAGTCATGAAACCAGTGATGAAAAGGTGATTTTTGGCATTGAATTTAACTCAACGTTTCTGGAATGTGTCCCAAAGTCACAGCAAGCTTCCATTAGGTGGTTTATTCAGCGTTCTGGAGAAGAGCACCGGGAAGAGGTGAGGCTGGCTTTCCCTCGAGAGAGAAAACTCCATATGCATTGGTGAAAAAAATGAATTTGTCAATATTAGATTCAGCATAACTGATTTAGCTCATAAAATAAATACTGTAGATCACGGGTATCAACTCGCCATGTCATGTGATGTGTCGTGACTTTTTTCACATTGCCAGAGGTGGGCATGGCATCCGTATGATGGAACCGGCCCATGGGCTGGCAATTTAACACCCCTGTTGTAGATAGATAGAGCGATAGAGAGACAGACAGACAGACAGATAGATACTGTCCACATATGATGATAGATAAACAGACTGTCCACATATGATGATAGATAGATAGACAGACAAACAGACACTCTCTCCACATATGATGATAGACAGACAGATAGACTGCCCACATATGATGATGATAGATAGACAGACAGACAGACCACATATGATAGATAGACAGACTGTCCACATATGATGATAGCTAGACAGACAGACAGACAGATACTGTCCATATATGATGAGAGATAGACAGACAGATATTGTCCATATATGATGAGAGATAGATAGACAGACAGACAGATACTGTCCATATATGATGAGAGATAGACAGACAGACACTGTCCACATATGATGATAGATAGACAGACAGATACTGTCCATATATGATGAGAGATAGATAGACAGACAGACAGATAGATTCTATCCACATATATGATAGACAGACAGACAGACACTGTCCACATATGATGATAGACAGATAGACTGTCCACATATGATAGATAGATAGATAGATAGATAGATAGATAGATAGATAGATAGATAGATAGATAGATAGATGGATGGATGGATGGATGATGGGTGGGTGGATGGAGTGGATAGATAGATAGATAGATAGATAGATAGATAGATAGATAGATAGATAGATAGATAGATAGATAGATAGATAGATCTATCCATCTATCCATCCATCTATGGATGGATCTATGGTATTATAAAAATAGATAGATGTGCTTATTTGGTCAGAAATAAGTTGGTCACAGCCAAATTTCTTTCATTTTATTAAACTTTTCTTTCTTCTGTACCTCTTTTCAACTTTTTGCTTTCCTCCAAAAGCAGTAGGGGGTTGTAACTTTTCCGTTTGCATCTTACTCTCAGTCCCGATCCCAGCCCTTTGGGGTAATTCCAGTTGAATCACATTTAGCAAATGACGTGCTGTTCCTGGAATTCACGCGCAGTAACATTTCCCCAGACCTTCTGTGCCTCACTCCAGAAGTAAAGGGCTTGGAGTAGCTCACCAGGGTGCGAAACCTGCTTTCCTAAGAGGAAAGAGAGGGCAACTTCCAGCTCGGCTTCACAGCCCTTTGGCCCTGCAGGGTCAGGCTTTGGAGTGTCATTTCCAGGCAGAGCTGGGCGTGGAAGTAAAACAGGATTTCCAGTGATCCGGTTGCTTTCACCATGTCATTCGGGCATCAGTGTGTGTGTGGGGGGGGGAGGAGTGGAACATCTCCCTGCAGTGAGAAGGATTTCCGTCCTCCAACTCTTCACTTTTATTTCAGTGATGCTCAAGCAAACCAGAGTTTTGTCTCTTGGTTTTGAGGGTGTTTCTCCTCCTCCTTGTACTAGAATCACAAAGGAGAGGAAGGAAAAAATAATAATTAAGGTATCATCATGTGTCCATGAAGCTGGAATCAACTGAAAATCAACCCCGGGCTCCTCCATTTATTTAATCATCATATATTTCCTTTCTGCGGCGAAATATAAAGGCACCTAAGCGCTGAGTTCAACTCAGTTCTTGGCAAAGATGGTTTGTCACGTTTAAGAAACATTAGACGCAGTTTAAGTTACATTAGGTTACTTAATTTAACTTAACTTGATTACATTAAGTTATAGCCCCAAGTCCAATTTGCCCCAAGATTCAGTTTTACCGAACTGCCACGTGTGCCATAAATATAAAACAATTGCCCATGAGATAAGCTGCTGTTTAAATTTTATTAATAAAATAAATGAAATAACATGTACACTTTCAGAGAAATCTAACAAACCGTACACCTAAAATGACAACTTGTATATTCTTGTTTTTCCTTATTCTTCTTTCGTGACTTTTTCCTCCCCCCCCCCGCCGTTGATTGGTTCAATAATTGCAGGAAAATATCAATTGGACGTTGTTTTCATTGTGCGCAATTAGGTATCTGTCAATTGTTGTTCTGTTGTACTTCAAAGCTACCTTCCAGAGGTGATGAAAAAACTATTAATATGGTTCCAAAATAGATAGACAAAACTAAACAAAAGGAACACGCAAGAATAAGAAGGAGCAAAATGCCACGGGAAAATTGTAAAAGTGACAAAATGTCCTAGCCCAGAAGTGCGGTATAATTTAAGATCCCCTGATGTTTGAGCGACACCGAATATTTTAGAATATGGAAAGTGTGTAATTAGCACTCCCATGAATTGGTTCCTCACCATAGTGGATATGGCCACCTCTTTCTGTGGATTTAACCATAGACACAACTTTGCTTGTGTCAGTGTTCCATGTCACGCTTCCATAGCAATCATAAGTCATCGTCACCATCTCCGGTGGCACAATGTTAGAATGCAGTATTTCAGGTTGACTCTGTCCACAGCCAGACGTTCGATTCTGACCAGCTCAAGGTTGACTCAGACTGTCCAGATTGTTGGTGACAATAGGCTGGCATTAGTAAACCACTTAGAGAGGGCTGTAAAGCACATGAAGCAATATATAAGTCTAAGTGCTAGTGCTATTGCTATCAGCAATCAACCCCTGTGGTTGAAGACATAATGACAACCAATCAGCAGATGAGTTGTGGTGTCAGTGAACAGAATTTCTGCAGACTTTGGGCAAAAGAACCCAAGTCAATATGAACATCAGCACATAGTCAAAACATGGAACTAGCTGAAGTCACAGGTACATGTTGGCATGTGGTTTAGGAAGACTAGAAATGAGATTGTACATAATGGATAGAAAAAGAATCCAATGAATAGCAAACATAAACATTTTTCCTCCCTTTAGTTCTTTGTTTTGATAAATGTCCAGAATGTGTAAAAGATGCCTTGACTAAACAACCTGGACACCAACCACGTTTGAATCTTGGTTAATTAGACTGTCTTATGAATTAATGTAATAAGATTTAATGTGAAAAATTTAATGGTTTGGAAGCTCAGGCTATGAATTAAGAACTGTTTTATTCAGATGTCATTTCTGCCGTTAATTCACCAGGCAGCCGTTGGCAACTCCCCATCTCAAAATCTTTCCATATTTCATTTAAAATGTGGGAATAATAATACTAAACCAGGCTTCTTTTATTACTTATTGAGGTTCTGTTTTCTCATTTCCTCCAAGGAATGTAAAATGGCTTATGTATTATTTCTGTATTTTTCCCCCTCTAAGGTGAAATAGACTGAGGTTGTCAGTGGTTACCCAAGGAGATTTGAGGTTGGGCATGGAAATTTTATTCTCTCTAGTCCTAAATTGACAATGTTCTAGTTATGTATGTTGCTTTAAAATTGTTGCCTATTTATATTACTGTTAGGAAAGGACAGATTTATCTATTGTTTGGGTTATTTTGACTTAAGACAAATATTTATACATAATTTCATTCTGGCTCATTTCTTCATCAGTTTATGAAATAAAATAAAAGAGAAATGTGTACATCCTGTTTTGACATTTCCACACAATGACCTTTTTTAGGATTTCCCCCCAAAATAGGTATGAGAATGGAAGTAATACTCTAATTACTTTCTTTATAAAGTTCAGCAGTGCTCCAGAGAAAAACGCAAAAAAGTAAGACATAACTGTTATATAATAATTAGATAATAATTCTAATTCTCAGATTTATCCCAAAAGTGAACATAATGGTTAGACTATAAATGAAATCCTGAAGTTTTTCCAATAATTGGAGACAAAGTGATTCCATGTTGTAGGAATAGAAAGACAGAAGTCCTTTCTAAATAAACCATTCACAAAGGCAAGCAATGTTGCCAGCCCTTAGTGCAGTTTTAATATGTTGCTTTCTGGGTTTTTTTTTTTTTTAAACACTCTCTTAACACTTTCTTCCTAACATGCAATTCCCTTGAATAGTTATTTTATTTGTATTGAAAGCAGGAATGGCTCTAAATCGATAGCGCAGTCATTAATATGAGTCAAAGCTTGGAAAAGTACAGGACTCCATATGTCATTGCTATCAACATGAAGATAATTGATTGGCATCACAGGACTCCATATGTCATTGCTATCAACATGAAGATGATTGATTGACATCACTGGAATTTAAAGTCAAGAGATGATCAGCATGTGTCAGCACCAATATAGACAACAAGACATTTCTCAAGGGCAAGAAGACGTGATGTCATCCTCCATCAATCAAGGGTTATCTAGATGGAACATCAGAATATCACTGTGGCCAAAACAGAGGATTGGGGTGATGTTAGGAAATCAATTTTTAGAGCAGATTTATTGATCGGGTCATGGCTGATTTTTCCTATTGGTTTCAGTGGAACCAAATTTTTGTTAGAGGTGGATTCAGTCCTGTGTGTGAAAGTCTATGAGAGAGATCTGCAGCTCGTTTCATGTACAGTTAACTATAATTAAGTCTCACTGAAAACATCTGGCATTTTTCAGTTTGAATTAAGACTATTTCAGTAGAAATGGTGGGAGTTATTTAATGCATTATCTTGTCTTGTGGGATATTCCCTGAGGATTCTATTTGGAGAGACAATTTGTAGGAAGCTGATATATCACTGTTACAATTGACACTTCTCCCTAGTGATTCTTGTGAAGGTAGTGGTGATCTCCACCCAAAGTACTTGCATTCCCAGATCTTCTGTTTTGTAAAAGTATTTCTCTTGCAGCTACATGGGAAGAATTCTAAATTTAAAAGTAGGCTCGTTCACCTCAATAGTTTCTGAAGATTGTCCTCCATCGTAAGTCTGGTACCTTAAGGTGTCTGGGCCAAGTTCTTCCAACTATGAGTTTCCATAGCTAAGAATGGCCTTG